CTCGAGTGGCCCATAGCTCGGCTCGGGAAAAGTCGAGCTGACCCTGCTCGCGGCTCGGGTTGAGGCCCATTTTAGGGCGTTGGCCTGAGCTCGGGCTAGCCCCGTACGGCTCGACGAAACCTACGGGCCGGCTCGTATCACTGGCTATTTTTGATTCTTGACAATCTGAACTTAAAAAAAAATTAAAAAGTTAAACCGAGGCAGTGTCACGCTTCCTTTGCAGGCAACTGCCTGATATTTTTAAAAAATAGTGAGCCTGCTCTGCTCATTTGGCTCAACAAGAACCAAGTCGAAAGATCGGGTCGGGACAAAAAAGCTAGAACCATTTTTACTCGAGCCAAGCCTCAAGTTTCGGCTCTCAAGCCGGCTCTCGGCTCGTTGGCATCCCTACATGTGCCATCACGTTTCATTTTAAGGGTATATTCAACAAAATGGACCAAAGGTGGAACAAAAGTAAAAGGTTAGGGACACTAATTTTTGTTTAAAAGGTAGGAGACGAAAATGCAATTAGAGCAATACATTGAGGGACCTAAATTGCTATCTTTACTAACTATTTATTATCAAATTTTAGATTTTCTTTTTTCATACCTAAAAGGTTACCTTTTTTTTTTTCAATCCTAACTACTAACTTAATATCAAATTAAGTAATTTTCTTATTTCACAATTTTACTGATAAATAATATTTATTTTTTATAAATTAAGAACCTACTGACATGGCTTCTTCTTTACCTACTCTTCTTACATCTTCATAGACATCCTTGTAAAAAATGGATGATCTCTGTTGTAAAATAACTAAGATACCAAAATAGCTCTGATACCAATTGTTGTGAACAAACCACCTGATTGAGATATTGAAATTATATGGTAAATAATAATGAAGTATATGATCAAGCAAAAAAATAATAAAGATAAGAATATGGCAGATGAATGAAGAGATTTTATTGACTTAAGAATAATGGTGAATAGAGAAAAATTACAATAGATCATATAATTCTAGTAATTTATTTTCTCACACCTATAAAATTGTATAGAAGAGCATAATATTTATAGGAAACATGTAGGGGATGTCCAAACTCTCCTAGTGGAGTTATTAATAAAGTAGGATAACAAAAAATCAAGTCCAAAACAAATTCCAACTCCCAATAAACTTCCAAAATAAAACTTCAACTTGACATAAGACTCAAATAGCATTTCAAATTGAATTCTTTTTTACGTGCACTTCAATTAGAATTCTTCAATTACTTCAACAAGAAATTCGGGTCACACCCAAATTCTAACAATCTCCACATTGACACGAATTCCACCAAGGAATAAACTGGCTTCTTCAACAATAACCAAAAAATTAATTTCTCCAACAAAACACAATACTCCACATTTTTCAATCAATCNCGAGTCACACCCAAATTCTAAATATCTCTACCTTGACACAAATTTCACAAAGGAATGAACTGGTTTCTTCAACAATAACCAAAAAATTAATTTCTCCAACAAAACACAATACTCCACATCTTCCAATGAATCCAAACACTACTCTGCAAAATTATCTTAGATCCCAAAAAATCATAATGATTTTATAATTATCAAAATGGGCTGTAACACATCCTAAAACATAATCAAACCCAAATGCTTTTAAAGAAAGCTCATTGCTAGATTGTACACCTTCTATTCCATTTAAAGCATGCTCAACAAAATTAGCATCCACATACCATTTTCCATTGGGTCCATTCCTAGCAATTAAATACAATGGCACCGCAGGTGATGGTGGCAAAGCAGCATTATTCATATCTCCTGAACTC